TGTTTTTTTTCTTCAATATTGTGTTCAGCATGGGTTTTTGGCCTCTCTATACAAACTCTAGACTTAGTTTCTTGATTTCAACAAAGTAACTTACTGGGGATTTGATTGGTTTGGGGAAAAACTGACATACTGACAGTATTGAGTCTTCTATCCATGGAATATCTACTTTATTTCTTTGATATCTCTTATCAGAGTTTTATAATTTTCCTCATACAGATTTTGCACATATTTTCATAAGACTTATACCTAAATATTTTATTTTGGGGGATACTGGTATAAATGGTTATTAGCCTAAAAGCTAAAACTCTAAAACTTATTGATTTTTAAACATGAATAAATCTTCATGACTTTGTTAGGGAAAAATTTCCTGACATGAAAATACCTTTCCACAGATGGAAAGTTTGATAAACTGGGAATCATCAAAATTGGAATATTTTGTTGTTCAAAGGCCCCTTAGGAAAATGAAAAATTAGCTATTGGGAGTTATATGTGTTCCCAACATGAATAGTCTGACACAGATCTTGTATCAATAAGAAGATAACCCATTAAACAGAAGTCAAAGATTTGAACACTTTATCAAACAATTCATTTGGAAGCATAGTAAGCATACAAAAACAGACTCTGCATCAGAGATTAGAAAACTGTGATCCATGGACTAAATCCAGCCCATTACCCATTTTGGTAAACAAAGTTTTGTTGGAACACAGTCACACCCATGCATTTATGGGTGCTATCATGCTCTAATGTCAGAATTGAGCAGTTATTAAAGAGACCATGTGGCCCACAAAGCCTAAAACATTTACTATCTCCCTCTTACAGAAGAAGTTTGCCACCCTGGTCTAAAGGAATCAAATTACGGAGAAGATGTTCCTAGTTGAACAAATATCAGTAGAGAAGTTTGGCCTAATTTAATATACTTTTCCTAGGACAAGCCTTATTTTTGGGAGGATTGTCATTTTAACAATTGGATCTTTTGATTTTTTTGTCATAGTTAATGAATTGTTATTAGTAAGCTAACAAAATATTTATATTAAGGCAAAATTAATTTATACAAGTCCCTCTTTAAGTCTTGGTTACTTAAGATGTCATATTAGAAAGCTCTTCTTATTCTGAGCAATTGCACTTCAAAGTCAAAACAGGGATGTAGGTTCACGATGTTGACAAGAAATTAGTACCAAGAGAAATCGTACTCAAAATCACTTGGTTTAAACACCTTGTACTTAACTTCCTTCAGCAAGGTAAGTGCTGACTGCAAACAAGCAAGGATGGGGATTATAGACATATGCTGCCGTTCTGGAAACCTGACTGACTAGTCTCACTGTCCAGGTGGTCTCCACTAACAGATGTCTTTGCCCTGATTTTCACAGGAAGTAGAAGCCCTACCTTATTATGGTCAGTATGTGGTTGTCTGTGATCAGTTGATACTCTCCAAGGAGATGCAGGGAGTCAGTGTCCTTAGTGGCTAGACAGGGCAGGCTTCCATGCTCATTGGGGAGTGTTTATCTGGCCAGTCTGGGTATGCCTTACATTCTCACTGGTCTGTTGTTCCAACAGCTATGTTCTGATGGGTTACACTCTAAGGTATATAAACCATTATATCAACGGTTATTTAAGTTGTTTACTTAAAACATATTTTGACTTTGGGGAACAACAGGTGTTAATCTCAGAGTGAGATAGCAATAGGCTTATCTGTAACTTTTTTACAACCTTAATTTTATAGAAAAGCATGTTTTCAAACAAGGGAGCATTTTTGGTGGAAAAACTTGTTTGCCACTTTAAAGCATAGCAGACAGATTTTATTTGCTACTATTAAAATGTAGGATAAGATATCCTATACAGAAAATTCCTTTCACATGTTACAAAGCCCAGCATTATTTACTTTACTTGAATTTGGTATTACTATTTTTCTATGTTAGTATAATTCAATGTAGTGTTAGTATAATTTAATATAGTATATGCATATAAAAATGATTTTTGTTTTTTGTTGCTAAATTTAGTTTTAGCATCAGAATGTTTTTTTTTCCTTTCTTCTGTTTATTTGTTAAAAAAATATTTACTGCCAGACATTGTGTGAGATTAAGTGTTAGGATTCAGTGGTGATTCAAGAAAAAGATAAAGTCCCTGCTCTCATGGGGTGTGCAGCCTAAAGAGAGAGAGAGACATTAATCAAATTATCACCCAAATGCATACTTACAAATTCCCATATGAGCTGAGAAGCAGAGCCATCTGCAAGCAATCAACTCAGCAAGGGTCTATATTAACAAAACTTTACTATCGATTATCTTCATTAACAGGACTTACATCCAGAAAGCTATAGTTACAAATAGCTGTATTGTTTGGTTGGGAAAATATTTATCCAATCTTTATTATTGGATGAAAAATATCCAAATTGAGGCTTCCCAGCTAGCTCTCTTTAGGGTAAATACCCTTTCTCAGAGCGAGAGGTTGCTTAGCTGCACTTATCAAATAACTTTTCACGACTGCTTCCAAATCCTTTTTTTTTTTTTTTTTTGAGAGGGCATCTCTCATATTTATTGATCAAATGGTTGTTAACAACAATAAAATTCTGTATAGGGGGGTCAATAGCATCAGAATATTTTTGCTAGAAGTAGAAAACAAACTCCATAAAATTTTTCTCTTTTCTCTGTATTTGACCATTAGTCATCACTTTGATAACCAAGCAAACTGCATGTTATAGAAAAATTTTCCATCTGAAACAAAATTTAATGAAAGAAATGTTCAAGATCATCTTTGATTTCTCCTTACTTATGCCCCCTTACTTATGCCCACACCATACTTTTGCAAGCCCTATCAAATATAAAATGAACCCCTGAATTCATCTTTTATCTTCATTTCTTCTTTATCTCCTCCCCCCTTTCTACTTCAGGTTGTTTTCATCTTTTATTCAGTGTTTTAAGTCAGAATAGGCTCTAGTAACAACTCTCCTAACCTCAGCAGTTTATTGAGTTTAACATAGTAAAGGTTTATTGTGGCTTACATAAAGTTCAGTGTGCCAAGGGCTGTGATCCTCTTAGAGTCATACTATCTGCACTAGTGACTTTTAAAGTTGTCATGTAGACTGGAAATGACTCATTTCTGCTCGCAGCCCATTAGTCAGAACTAGTCACATAGCTACAGTCTTAAGTTCAATAAAGGCTGGGAAATGTAGGATAGCACATGAATTATTTGGAGATCACACTTTAACTGTACTACACCTAGATTTATTATAGTTGCATCCTAATTGGTTTCCTTATTATTTCTTCTCATGTCCCACTACAGTGCTTTCTCTAACTAGTAGCCAGAGTGCCTGAAAAAAATATTTTTGTCACTACTTGCTAATAATTTCCTTTTTTGTATAAAATCCAATACTTTGCCGTCACTTTACAACTATTGTATTGTATGGCCTTTGCCTTCCTCTCTAATTTCATGATTGACAGTTAGCATTATTAAATATTATCTATAAATAGTGTACTTTGAATAGGCATTCTCTTTTACTTTGTCCATAGTTATGAAAATATAATTTTAAAAGATGTCAAGTTTACAAAGTCACAAAATAATCATAAGCTGAATAAATAATAATGTCAAGAGAAGTCTTAATTTATAAGAAGATCTCCTCAATGACATCGTATGCAGTTAGAATCTTAAAAAAAATAGCTTTTTGGGAACGTCAATATAATGTAATATCTTTTTATAACGATAAGTTCTATATAATAAAGTTATGATACTGTTTCTCTAACAACAAATGATCTCTTAGAATAAATGTTTTCTAAAGTTTAATGATAGGTAATCATGGTAAATATGTAAAAATTAATAAACTATTTTTTAGGGCAGTCTTAGAGTCACAGCAAAATTGAGCTGAAAATACCAAGTTCCCATATACTCCTGTTCCTACACTTAGGTGTATACCTTATACTGCCTCAGAGTGGTACATTTGTAATAATCTATGAACCTACATTGACACATCATTGTCACTTAAAACCCATAGTTTACATTAGGTTCTGTAATGTATTCCATTACATCCTATGGGTTTTGACAATGCAGTTTTTAGGCAAGTTTTTCATAAAGTTTGTGGTTTGCCTTTAGTAGTTATCACAATTCATTTCTACCTTCAACTTCTGTCATAATTTTCCTTGGCAATCTGAAGTTCCTACCTAATTATGTCAAACAAACACACAATCCCAAATAATAATTTTAGAAGTTGGAGTGGGTTGGAATATTTTCATAAAGTAAGTAATTTGTAATCTCACAAACTGTGGATTAGAGCAATGTCTTTGCCAAGAGAGAGTGGAGCTAGGGTTCAACCCTTATATTTAAATATGCATGAAAGAAGACTTTATGTAAATTCTTTGTCATCTCTGGGCTGTGAATCCTGGAAGTTAGGTTTTTAAAAAGTTGTCTATCTTAAACATCTCAAGACCTGTATGTTTGATATGTTTATTTGAAATGGAGCAGGACATTTATATTTTTTATAACCTTTGACAGTTCTTTAAATTGATTTTAAATTTCTAATTAGCCAATAGTGATTCCTATTTTATCAAATGAAAATTACATATAGTAAATTTGAGCACTCTATGGTTTGTTACATAGATTTAGATCTAGCACAGTTCAAATAAATGACTTGTCATTTGACATCTTTATTCTTGACATCTGCTTACATACAAACACCTCATGTAACAGTTTTCACATGATGTCATTATCATTCTTGTTTCTTTTGTTGGCCAACTCTTGTTTCAGTCCTTGAGCATTAACAAAGTATTAAGTAACAAAGGACATTATCCTACTACTGGACAAATGTGTAACATTGAATAAAAACAGGTATTTGTGGGATAGAAAGATAAATCTTTTTCTCTGGTCAGAATTTGATATGCCATTCTTCTTTCATGTAATTAGATGTTTTGTAAAGGAACTTGGGATTGTAGGATAGGAGTCAAGGAAGTTATTAAGCAGCCTGAAAACTTAATTGTCTTTGTGCTTTGACTAACTGTTTGTCTTGTTCACAGTAACTGTGGTACTGAATGGAAGTGGCTTGTAGATAGAGCAAGAGTTGGCAGCCGATGGACGTGGCTTCAAGCCCAGATTTCAGAGCTAGAATACAAAATCCAACAACTAACGGATATTCACAGGCAGATTCGTGCCTCTAAGGTATTGTCTGTGAGCTTCTATTTTGTTTTTAATTATTATATTTTAGTTTCTCCTCATCTTTCCGTTCAAAATAATTGTTGCAAAGGTTTATAGAAATGTAGTTAATGTTAAGATGTTTGATATATAATTGCTATAAGCTGAAGTTATCTTTGTAATGCCTTTGTATTTATCACCAATATTTTGTTCAATACTTGAGTAGTTCAGAACTTCTTTATTAGATCCCAGTTAATAGAAATGATACCTATTTTTTTTATAAACCTCTACTTTGTTGGCATTTATTTTAACATATGTGAGAAAGTCTAGGTGTATCTTACTTTGAATCTCCTTAGAGATTTTTGTTTTGCCTTAGGAAAAATTATAAACAAACAGTTCTAGAAAGCAGTATAATAACACTTGTGTACCCTTTTCCCAATTATCAGATATTAAGTTTTTACTAGTTTGGGCTTAGCTTTTAATAATAAAACATTGCCTGTACAGTTGAAGTAGTATATAGTCCTTCTTAGTCCCATTCTCTTTCCCCATGCTGGTATAACCACTATTCTGATTCCAACAATTTTTGATATTTATTATAATATTTTTACATGTTTTTATAGTATTAACACATAAGTTTCTGTCTGTACCTACAAATAATAATTTGCCATTCTTTTAAAGTATATATAAATGACACACATAATACAAACTCTATTGTTACTTGCTTGTTTTTGCTCAGTAAAATTTTATAGGTTTTTATACTTCCAGCATCTTATTTAATTATCTCTTCTTTTGTTTTGTTTTGATAGACATGTACATTGTTTCCAATTTTTATGACAGTAAAACAATGCTGTAATGACTTCCATGTGGTATGTGTTTTTATGTGTGAAACTGTGTAAAGCTTCGCTTGAATAGATGCTTAAAAAAGTAGAAATGCTAGATCTTGGGCATGGCCATCTTCAACTTTCCTGTACTCACTGATGTGTTTGAATGATCACTTATCTCACTGGCAGTGCAAGAAAACTCCTGTTTTCCCACATCCTTGTCGACATTTTATATTTTTTTGCCTCTTAATTTTTCCAGTGTACTGGCTGTGAAATATTATTTTATTACTATTTTAATTGAAATATTCCTGATATTTCAGGATTGGACCTCAGTGTAATTGCTTTTGGCTAAGGATTACGTTTTTACTGTTTTTTTTTTCTTTTGAGGTGGTGGTAGTGATAGTCATGGTTGTATGTGAATTCTTTTTAAATTTTGGGTACTATTCTTGGTCAGTTAGAAATATAAATCAGGCTGTAGCTTGTCTTTTAATTTTTTTTAGTGTATCTATTTTTAAACAGTTTTTTAACTTGTGTAATTATGTGAATTAATGCTTTCCTTTATGGGTTTGTGGCTTTGTGTCTTATTTAAGAAATGTTATCCCTGATACTTATTTCTGTATTTGTTGTGAGGATAAGACCTTACTTTCTCTTTCCCACATGTCTAGTCAGCCCAGTATCTTTTTTTTTTAAATTATTTTATTTTGGTGTCATTAATCTACAGTTACATGGGCAACATTATGGTTACTAGACTCCCCCTATCATCAAGTCCCTACCACTTACACCATTCAGTATCTTTTTATAAATTATAGTAGTTCATCCTCATCTTTTGGTTTAAAATATCACTTTTGTCATAAAATATCACTTTTGTCATATTTATTGAGTGTCCATATATGTATAAATCTGTTCCTGGACTTACTAATCTATATATCTGTCTTGATTATACAGCTTTATAGTAAGTTTACTTTTAATACAAAAGTCAGCCCCTATATTGTTATTCAAATTTTTTTCAAATATTTTGTCTGGTTTTTTAGTCATAAAATTCATCCCCATCTTTGTGAATTTTTCAGTTTCTCCTGGTAATTCTGTTAGTTTTTGCCTCTTAAATTTTGAAGTAATACTGTTTGATAGATACCAATTTTTTATTCTTCCAGGTGTTTCTTTTATAAGCTCATATAGCTAGACTTCAAAAATCCACTGTTCCATTTTTATTTTTTATTTGCCCTTCTTCTTCGTTCTTTGTATTTGTATTTTGCTTTTTACCTATCTTTTGTTGGATTGGTAGAATTTGCTTCATTGCTGTCTTTTCCCTATGCTGGTTTGGAAGCTATATATTATAGTTTTATTCTTTTATCATTATTCCTAATTTTTAATGTATTTCCTTAGCTATAAAAAATTCTAACAAGGGCTAAAAGTTCTCAATATTGTTATACTTTTTTACTTAAAATATGGATCTTAATTCTATTTAACTATTTATTGAATATCTACTCGAATCAGTTTTTTTACAGTCAATAATTACATTTTTAACAGATTTCATTAAAAATGTGTATTATTTTTTTGTGTTCTAACTATAAATTTAGGTTACGAGTTAAGCTGTTGTGAGAAAGAAACTCCCAGATACAGTAGCTTTGTAAAGGTACATAATGCTTGGAACGATAGGGGGTAAGTACAGGCTGGTGGAGCAACTAGGTTATTATACAGGGTCATTAAGGGATTCAACGTCCTTCTACCTTGCTCTTCGCTGCCCTCTAGAGTGTATTGACTGCACTGTTGAACCAGATTGTAGTCATCTTCTGTTACAGCCCTCAGGAAGGGGGAAGTACAGCATAGTTTGTCATTATGTTGGAGGTGACTTGAAAGTTGCACTAGTTTGTCTCACACTTCACTGTCCCAGATTTAGCCACATGGCTGTAACTAGACATGTAGGAGTGAAAGCTGAATAATACAGTCTTTCACTTAGAAGTTACATGCCTAGCTAAAGCTCCAATAAGCGGGTAGGGTCTTTTAAAAAGAAGGGGAAAATAGGTACTGGGAAGAGTTTGCAGTTTCTGCTACATTACCTTTCTTTCTTGGTTTACTTATTCCTAAAGTACATTATTCAGCAGTTTTTTATATTAAACTCTTAACATTTAAGCTCTTGGTATGTCTGAAAATACCTTTATTTTACCCTCACTCTTCAGTGATGTTTTATGTTGATATAAAATCCTAATTTCATAGTTATTATTTTCCCTTAGCCCTTTAAAGATTCTGTTTCATTGTTTTTTGAATATCAGTATCAAATGAGCAGTATACTAGTAAATTGTTTTCCCTATGTAAGTACTCTGTCTTTTCTGTCTGGTAATTTAAACATTTTCTTCTTTATTTGATGTTCTGCATTTATTTTACTAATAGGCATCTAATTATGGGCTTATCTTTTTTTTCTCAAGAGTACAATTTTTAACTATAAAATCCACTGAATGACAACTGTATTGTTGTATCAGCATTACCATGACTGCCCTTTTAGTTATTGACCTTCTGTTTCCAGGAAAAGAGAAAAGTGCTTTTAGAACAAATTTGATGAAAAATAAACTTTCTTACACATGGATTTACATGTTCTATCAGATTTCTGTTAGATGTTCTGAGAGATTTGAAAATATGAGATACTGGAGAAGATGAATATTTGGAGTTATTTCAGTAGAAATGGTAGTTAAAGCTATGCTATTATAGCCATTTTAAATACAATTCATTTATGTCTCTCTCCTTTCTCATTTTCTGTCTTCCCTCCTTTCCTTTCACATATAGTTATTAGGTACCTAATACATGCTTAAGGTATATGGTGGTGAACAAGCCTACAGACTTCTTATATTTTTAGGGCTTACAATCTAATGGGGATAAAAATTAAGCAAATGGTTGCATAAATAAATGCTACTTTAATTCTAACCAGGGAATTTTTTTTATTAAGGTATCATTGATATACAATCTTATGAAGGTTTCCCATGAGCAACGGTGTGGTTACAGAATTCACCCATATTATCAAGTCCTCCTCCACACCCCATTGCAGTCACTGTCCATCAGCGTAGTAAGATGCTATAGACTCACTACTTGTCTTCTCTGTGCTATACTGCCTTCCCCGTGACCCACCTACATTAAGTGTGCTAATCATAATGCCCATTACTCCCCACCCATCCTCCCCAATCCCTTCCCATTGGTGACCGCAAGTCCCTTCTTGGAGTCTGTAAGTCTGCTGCTGTTTTGTTCCTTCAGTTTTGCTTTGTTGTTATACTCCACAAATGAGTGAAATCATTTTAATCAGGGAAAATTTAACATGGGATTTCCCTAGCTTAAATACATATTGTTATCCAAATCTTACCAGCTGTTTTCTTGGAACTTGAAGTATATTTTCCCACAGAAGCAATAATATAAAGAGTTCTCAGGCAATCCTATGAAGTCCTGTTTAACCTAAGTATTATTAAATATCTTTCTGTAACTTTGTAGAAAATGATATTCTACATGGTGAAACTGTGGACATAATGGAGATAATATTATACTGTTGTGGTGACTGGTCTGAAAAGAAAAAGCTGAGAAGGGAAGGTATCAGAGTCCTTGAGCCATATGGGTAGCCCAACCCCCCTGGGGTCTGCACATCAGAAAAGATTGATAAGTTTAAGGCTCTGTCATGAGTTTATATGCTGGTAGAGAAGTTAGACCATGTAAGTAGTTAATTGCTGTATAATGTAATATGCACAGTGATAAATGTTTTTAATAACATAGAAGGCATAGGGAGAATACTTATTTTAGGGGTTAGTGTGTCATTCAATAAAGAGGTAATGCCTCAGTAAAACTTTGGAGGATAAATAATGTTTTGCTTGATGAACCAGTGGAACTGGAAAAGGGCATTCCTTAAAGGTTTGATGGCATGAAACAACATGATCTGTTTTAGGAATGACAAGTAGTGTGGTATTCAAAGGAGCAGAAACTGTGAATTGTGCAGGTATGGGAGAAGAAACCAGGAAATGATGAATATTGTTTGATGCCTTGTAGAATTTGGTGGTGATGTCTCTAGGAAGGTGAATGGAAGGGCAGACATAAAAGCCTAGGCTTACCTGTTCTGTCAGTAGGATTTGAGGGATCTGTGTGCAAGAATACTTTCCTGATGCAAGTAATTACTGTAATTACGTTTTTTCATTTTCAGCTGTCTTCACTGTGGCCTTCAGTTGTAGTAGTTTCCAAATCCTTTCAAGATATATATATTATGCAATTATGTATATTCTTTGCAGAGGGTACTGTGGTAAGAGTGGCAGGAAGAGGAGAAATTTTACAGTGACAGCTGACTATGAAACCATGAAGATTATATCTGTGCACTCATTTTTCCCCTTTCTCTCCTGTCTTCTTTCCCTCTGAGGGACCTAAAGGAAGAGAACAGTTGGATTGAAGAAACTGGGGGATGTGTGAGAAAGTTTAGCAAGTTAAGGAGTGTGTGTGTGTGTGTGTGTGTGTGTGTGTGTGTGTGTCGGCAAGTACAAAAGCAGCCAAGCCAGCCATGTGGGAGAAAGTTTAGCGAGTTAAGGTGTGTGTGTGTGTGTGTGT